GGATTTGTTTCTCTAGTCAACCCAGATGAACACAATACTAGTCAAATATGGCACTCAGATAAGAGATTTTCAAGGAAAGAGGGAAAAATAACATGCACTTACCCAACCTACCACTACTGTTGAGTTTGTCGACTCATAGAGACACTATCAGACAAAGTAGAACTACTCCATAGGGTTTCCATGGCTGTAAACCTTATGTGAGCAGACACACTCATTCTCTCATAGAGCATCTGATGAATTTGAGCCACCGACCCAGAGGTTAGCAGCCTGATAGTTAATCTGCGATGCTACCTGGATCCTAAAAATGAACTTAGTACATTAAAATCATGATATTGATCTCTCACTACTGCACCTAAAACTATGACATTGGCTATTTCTTTCCTATTCAGAAGCTTCTTTAGTGCTCTACTCAATAATTTACATATTTATCCATTTATGCAGTAAATATTTATTGTATGCATATAGTCTACAAAGGGCTTTTGTAGATTGGGAATGCAGTAGGAGAGAAAAACTCAGTCCAAAATCCTTGCATCCTTGGAACTAACTTCTTGTGATGGAGGATAAGTCAATAAAAAATATAAATTAGTAAAATATAGACTGTAAACAAAACAAAATTATATATTTACTATATAAATATATATAATATAAACCCACTGCTGTCTAGTTGATTCCAACTCATGGGATTTCTAAAGGACAGACGAGAACTGCCCCATAGAGTTTTCAAGGCCATACATCTTCTCAGAAGCAGCCCGTGCCTCCTTTCTATTGCAGAGTTTTTGGTATGTGCCAATTGCAATGAACTTTTGGTTAGCAGCTATGTGCTTTAACTGCTAACCCAACAGGGCTCATTTAAAAATATGTGACTAGGTTGTATAGGGAAAGTCTTTTGAGGTGGTTACAAAATAATATTAGAAAAATTATACTAAATGTAATTTAGTATATAAGTGCAGAAGAGTGTTGGTACCACTGCTGGTCTCTCAGTTTGCCCAACTGTGGGGACTTGCATATTTCTATGAAGCTGGAAGATGTCACTGGTATTTCAAATACCAGCAAGGTCACCCAAGGTGAACAGGTTTCAGGAGCGCTTCCAAGCGCTTCCAGACTATGAAGATGATGCAGTAAAAGAACTAAACAAAAAAGTTCAAAGGGCAGCTCGAGGGACAAGTAAAGTATTATTATAATGAAATGTTAGAAAAGCAAAAAAGAACAACTCATTCAGAATATATCAAGCTGGAAAAAAATTCACACCTCCAGTTGCAATATTGAAAGATCCTATGAGCAAAATTTTGAACAATGCAGGAAGTATCAGAAGAAGATGGAAGGAATACAGAGAGTCACTGTACCAAAAGGAACTAGTTGAAATTCAACCATT